AAAATCAAATTATGAAAAACACGTTTGAAGGAAATTGTGCCCCGATGACGAGCACAATCTTGTCATACGAAACCCCGGCGAAAAATAAATCTCTTCGCTCGTGGCTTTAGCAGTTTCATCATCTGACGTTCTTACTTTAAGATATCTCGGCATCTATGACAACTATTTGTGACTGTTAATACCATTTTATATCATTTATTAAAAACAACAGTTAACACCAACATCTCAACTCTTCACTGCAAAAAAAGTAAACTTTTTTTAACTTTGAAAATAAGTATCCTGATGTTAAATTCAACATTCTTAAGATACAGTATCTGCACTTTATTTCAAAACAGTTATGAATTTCATAAACTTTTAAATAGCTATATTTTCTAGCTTACAACACCAATACTTTACATTTTGCGTTCGCAGATAGCTTATCAAACAGGTCTGATTTCGTGTAGCCACCACTCGAATCGCTAGAATACTTCGGATAGCGTGTGAAAGCGCAATCCACTGAATCAGAAGGCGATGCCATCTAAAAATTTTCAAAATAACATACTATCGATCAACAGTATGACTGAAAAAAAGGAAGCAAAAGTTTTTTAAACTTTTCAAATCTTTCCTCCAAATATCTCACATGTAAAGCATTCTATGTGGATGTGAAAAATCTTGGAGAGCCATCCATCCAGAAATAGATTAAGGCGGGAAAGGGACAGAGCACTGGATCAAAGAAGTAAATCAGAATATTTCAATCCTTGGCTTCTCTACTTTCAACCCTGCTCTTGATGACAAATACGCACATCATCCTTTCACTGACTGAACCATGCTTCCAAAAATCACTTAATCCGTTGGACACAGGCGACCTCACAGATTACACGACTGGCTGTTTCGAAATGATTCTGCATTTTATTATCCAACTATCAGCTACATCGCTGTTTGGAAAATATGCCTGCTGACGGCTTCTGTGCCGGAAGACGAAAAGCCGGAATGAAATAGAAAGTAGAATCTACTGGTACGTCCAAAGCGATTTGCATGGGAAAGGTGAAGAGTTCATGATACTGACCAGTGCTGAGAATTACATTTTGAAGATATTTTAATTTTTTAAATAAATCTTAACGTTTTTGATTCTGCATTGCCCGATGAAATATTTTTCAACAATCTTCGCTCGTACCTTATACTACA